GCGCCGCCCCACTTCCGCCGTCCCGCCCTCTGCGGCCGTCTCCCCCGCCGCCGCCGCTGCGGCTGCGGCCGCTTCCGCTGGCGGCGACGATGACGTTCTGACGCCGTCCTCGTGCGCCTGCGCGGATGGGGCGTGAGTCATACGGGCTGAACAGTGAGACTGCGAGCGTCTTGCCGAGATGTGCAGCCGAGAGACGGCCGAGAGATGGCCGAGAGATGGCCGAGAGATGGCCGAGAGATGGCCGAGAGATGGCCGAGAGATGGCCGAGAGGTGGCCGAGAGGTGGCCGAGAGGTGGCAGAGAGATGGCCGAGAGATGGCCGAGAGATGGCCGAGAGACGGCCGAGAGATGGCCGAGAGATGGCCGAGAGATGGCAAAGAGATGGCCGCGCTAGCAAGCCTCCCTCACGCGCCTGCTCCTGCCCGCGCGGCCGCTTCTGCGCGCCGCCGCGGTACACGGGTCTGCCGAGGAGGTCCCCGCCCTCGCCCGGCCCGCCGCAGCTGATCGTCGGCGCGACGAAGCTCAGCAGCTGCGGCGGAGCCTCAACACTCGGGAGCTGCGCAACACTCGGCAGCTGCGCCGGCGCATCGGCAGAGGCGGAGGTGGAGGTGGAGGCGGAGGCGGCGGCACTGTGTGGGACGCGCACGCCGTCGTCGACGAGAAGGAGTGCCGCCACCCGCGTCCGCACCGCCGGCGCGCTCCGCACGCTCGCCACCGCCCTGCAGGCTGCCGCGGCGGGCGGACGTTTCTCGGAAGCGTCCGCCGCATCGCGAGACGGAGCCAGGACGACCTGGAGGCTGGCGCCGACTCTGCCTCCTCCCGCGAGGGAGAGGTGGAGCTGGACCGCGGCCGGCGTCGAGCCGCCCACCTCCGCCCGCGTGCGCAGCGACAGCCGCGCTCCGAGCGGGCAGGCCTCCAGCCGCGCAAAGACGAGACGCGACGACGTCGCGCGGCCGACGCGCGACCAGGCGGAGGCGCGGCGGCCGTGGAGCGCCTGCACGCGCACGGCAACCGGCTCCGCCGCGACGCCCGCAAGCGCCACCCTCAGCTCCGTATCCTCGCCCGCAGGCACCCTCTGCCGCCGCCACCGCCACCAGTCGTTTGCGCAGTACTCGACGACCCAGGCGGCGAGCGGCTGGCGCGTCGGCGAGAGCGACGGACTCCACCGCACGAGTAGCTCGGCGCCCGCCTCCCGCCGGACCACGTCGCACCGGTCGAGGCGGGGGGCGGGCATTGTTGGACGGGATGACGCAGCGCCGGCCCTGGCTGGACTGATGGGTTCGAGCTCCAAGCGATGAAGGACAAATTGCATGGTGTCCAGTCCGAGCCCGGGTCTGAACCTCCGGAAAAGAAATTCGTGCCGCGCCAACGAGACTGTCCCATCTTCGCTGGTTCGCCGAGGCTGGGCAGTCTCCGCCGGCCGCAGCCCGAAGACGCAGCCTTGCAGAGGACGCGTTAGCGGTCAGATGGGTCCAATTTTGAGCCTCGGAGGAGCTCCCGTTGCCTCACGGCGGCTGCTAGACGAGGGCCGGACGCCGGCGACTCAACTTTGATCCGGCGGCCTATTTATTGAGGGTGGCTTCACGACTCCGGCCCTCGCACGCGCCCACACGACCCCCTGGACCGGCCTGTCCGACCCACCCCTCTCGACGCGCACCACGCGCCCGACGCAGGAGCCGCGCGGAAGTCGGCGCTCGACGTCGCCGCTCGACCTCCGCCGCGAGAGGCGTCTCGCGGGGCCTGTTCGAGCGTAGTCAGGAGCGCCGCCGCTCCCCCTGGCCATGGGGCACGTGCGGGCCCTTGCCCGTGCCGCCCGTGTGCCGACACGGACCGTTTGACGCCGTCGGTTCTCTTCACACTCGCCCGCGCCTTCGGCCCGCCCGCCACGCCTCCCGCCCCCCGCGGCGACGCCCCGCCAGAGCGATTAATTGGCCGTCGACCTCCGTCCCCTCGTCTGCAGGGGCCGCTCTGCTGACTTGAGCTCTCCGCGGCGCGATTTCTGCAGTTGAGATCGCCTCCCGCCCGCCTCCCGCCCGCCTCGCGTGCCTCTGCTCTCCCGCCCCGCCCAAGCGGCGCCGCGCACGCGAGTCGCCCTCTCGAGGCGGAGCCCGTTCAATGTCGCGCTAAAAGCGTGATCGCGTCTCGTTTACGGTGCATACTCACAACCACGCACACCATGTCCCGCTCAGGCTCCTACCGGATAATCATACCCTCCACGACACCGGCGTACATGGCGACGGTCCCGTGCACCGGCGTACATGGCGACGGTCCCGTGCACCGGCGCCGTGCCGAGCCGTCCTCCTGCTCGGCAACCAGCTCCGCCGTGTCTCGATGCCGGCAGCATCCGGTGCGTCGCCGCCGGCGACACCGCCCGCTGCGGCGAGTGGCATGTGCGGTGGCGCGCCCTGCTGCGTGGCCGCCGCCGGCTCGGACGTGGCCGCGGCTGGAGCCGGGCCTGGGTCGGTCGCGGCCAGAGCCAAAAATGGAGCGCAGCTAGGGCTGCGCAGCGAACAGGAGCGAGTTCGCGCTGCGGTGCTCAGTACGGCGAGTTCGCTCTGCGGCCTGCTCGGGCTTTATCTCTCGCGTCTCGGCTGCGTTGGCTGCTAAAGTCTTTTTTATCGGTGCGTTTTAGCTGTTTTAGCAGCAAACGTCCGAATTCTGCAGCGATGACCGATCTGGGAGGCTTTCCGGCTTTGCCTTTTTTTGGTCTGGCTGTGGTCTCACAATTTGGTGCGAGAGACGGTCTCAGACCCAAAGAGAATGCAGAATCTAATGTTTTTTCACACACAACACAGACACAGACACTGCGCTCCCCTCAGCTCCCGCGCTGGCAGGGAGACGCGAGCCCTGACGGAGTCCGGTGGTGGGGGCCCGCCACGCAGCTATAGCGCCGCCCTACGCTGACATGGTTCGTGCTGAGCCGCCGCCGCCGCTCGCTCTCGAAGAGCGTCGCGCTGCTGCCCGTTCCCGGAGCGCAGAGCGCGAGTTTGGTGGTCAGGGCCTCGCCTGAGGGGGGGGGGGGGAGTGAGGACGTCACCGAGCGGGTGGGGCTGCCGGGAAGGTGGTGGGCGGGCGTGGATGCACCTCAAGTACGAGCGAGTAGCGGAAAGACCGCCCGCTACTCCGGCGGAAGAGTGCTCCCCCGCCGCCCCCTGGGTCACCCCGAGTGACCTCGCAGCCCACGCCGTGAGGCGCTGCTGCTGTCAGGGGATGTTGGGGGCGTGCAAAGCGGCTGGGAAGAGACGGCCAGGCTCCTCGCGGGCAAAAGACTGACGTGGCCGCCGCATTCAGCCTCCGGCGGGCCTCCGGCGGACGCCTGCGGCGTGACGCTCCGCGCGAACAGCCCCGTCTCGGAAGCGCTGCGGGACGGCCTCGCTTCAGCGTGCGCCTGCCGGGGTGGGGTGGTCACCAGATGAAATCGCGGCCGCAGCTGCTTCGAGGGGTGATTGAGGCCGGGCAGGAACGGCTTCTCCCGAGGTGCCCGCATCGAGTAGGCCGACGCCACAAGCAGGAGGGCTGCGTGGACCTCCTGGGCCTTCTTGGTCGGGTCGCTCCTCCTGGCATGGCGCTCGGCCTGCGAGCACGGGCGGAGCGAGCGGTGAGCGGGCATTGTGCCGCCGGGCGGGGAGCTCCGTCACCCTATCGCGGAGCTCTGGTCCCGCCCCTGGGCCGGGATGCGACCCACAATAAAACCCGTCCCACCCGAAGCGCATCTGCCGGGAACGGCCTGCTCGAAACGGAGGCGCGGCGCGGGCGGCGCGCGGGGCAAACGGGCGCACCTTGGGGGCTCCGAGGGGCTTGCGGACGGGCTTTCAGGCCAGCCGCGGACCGGCGCCGGGTTCTCTCCGCGCCGCGAGCCAGGCGGGGCCGAAGAGGAGGACGGACCGCTCAGTCTGCCATCGTGGCTCTGTGGCGCCCCAGAGACCTCGCAGGCAGGTTCAGACCCCCTGGTCCGAGCCTGGCTCGCGCTGGCATCCGGGATTGCATGGTGTGAGTGTGTGTGAGTGTATGGGGGATGCGCAGTGTGTGGGTGCTCACACCCATGTCTCACAGTGTGACGGCAGTCGCCGAGCAGTGTCGCTCACACAAGCCGCAGCACAAGTGACTGATGGCCAGTGAGGGCGAGCCCATCGCTGTCACAGCTGTGGCAGCCGCACAGTGGGCTGTGCCATCTGTGCAGAGTGTGTGAGCAGCAGAGGAGGAGCAGGCGCACATCGCTTCCAGGGAGGGGGGCGCCCTTCTCTCCACGCCCCACCCCCCCCCTAGCATGTGGCGAAGCCTCTGGGGGGGTCGGGACCCCCCCCCCTAGCATGTGGTGAAGCCTCTGGGGGGGGTCGGACCCCCCCCCTAGCATGTGGTGGGCACCCCCCAGCAGTTCGTGGGCTAGGAATAGCCGCCAGAGAGAGCCGATTTTGCCCCACAAAGTTGTGAAATCGTGGCTGAAAGTCCAATATTTTGGAGAATCTGGCCAGTCTCAAGGCTCATGTAGCTCCAACGGATAAGTTTCTTCGAAAAATGCTGCGAAATGAGTGTAAAATCAAGGGCCCGGAGGGCCCTGACCACGAGTCTCCCGGGGGGGGCCATGACCCCCACCCCCCCCTAGCATGTGGTGAAGCCTCTGGGGGGGTCGGGCCCCCCCCCCTAGCATGTGGTGAAGGTGCTGGGGGGGGTCGGACCCCCCCCCCTAGCATGTGGTGTGGAGAGAAGGGCGCCCCCCTCCCTGGAAGCGATGTGCGCCTGCTCGAGCTGCTCTCCAGGCTTCTGTCGCAAAGAGCTGCATGCCACCGAAGGCGCTGTCGAGGTTCGCCGAGCGCGGCGCAGGTTGGGGGCGACGAGCGCGTTGGACTTTTCACTCCGGACAAAGACAGTGGCACGCGCCGGCGTGCCACTGTCTTAGCGGCGAGGCGCGGGACCGTCTGTGGCGAAGTGGGTCGCGTCCCCCGATTTCCTCAACTCACGGCCCGTCGTATCTCGTAAAGGGTGTGGACCGCCCGCGGCGCCAGCGACGTATTTTTCGTAGAATTCGCCGGGTCGTGAAGCGTCACGCGCTCGACCTCGGTCATGGCACTCTGCTGCGAGCCCATCGGTTCCATGTGGCCTCGTTTGCGCGAAGACTTCTTGGGTGCCTCAAAGTCGCATTTGTGGACGTGGCACTCGCGCGTCGAGCGGCCGGGACGGAACTCGGAAGCTCGGCAGCTTAGAGGCGCTTCGTGCAGCAACGAAATCATGCGAAATGCTGGCGCGCGTCGTACTAGGCACTTCAAGTTTGCGGCCACGCTAAGACCCACGGCCAACCTCCTAGTCTACTCTAGCTACTCTTCCCTTGGCCTCTTCATGCCGCCGCCGCCCGGCATCACCTTTTCGCATGCAACCTCATAATGAGCCAGCGCAATCGCCTTGTCCGGCACCTTTAGCTCGCCGCCGTGTACGTCGCGGTTGGCGTCGTCGACAATCTCGGCCATTTTGTCGGCCCACAGCTTGGTGAGGAGCTTGAAGACGCGCTTCTGCGCCTTGCCCTTGCCCGTGAGCGCCATGTCGGCCAACACGTTGGACGTCGTCAGCGCGACAAAGGGCTTTTTGATGGCCAGGACGTCCTAAATTGCCGCGCGCCCTCGCGAATACCTCGTAATCGGCCGCGCTCATCGCCGCGGTCCGCTCGTCGGCAAACCGCATGCGCTCGATCCGCCGCGCGTCGGCGCGATCATTGCTTCCGCTCGGCCCGCCGCCGCTGCTGCTTCCTCGCCAATCATCCACCTCCTCATCGTCCTGCTCCGCCGCATCGTCCACCCGCAGCTGCAGCTTCTCCGCATTCTCGACCGCGTCGAACTGGCTGCGTACCTCCGGATGCGCATCGAGCAGCGCCTCGAGCTGCTTACTCGGCTGCTTTGGCGGCTTCTTGCAGGCGCGCACGGCGGCCGCCACGTCGGCACGCTGCCATTTCATGAGCGTCCGGAGCACGAGCTGGGCGCACTCGCGTCGGGTAATGGCTGGAGCGCGTCGCCGTAGACGAAGAGCTGCTGGCGTAAATCGGCTCGTCGAGGTTGGAGAAGGGGAGGGGGGATGGGCGGCGGCGAGGGGGTCAGAGCCAACAGTGCGTACGGGGTAGCCACCACTTTCCTGCCTCACAAGGGCGGGGCTGTCCCGGAAAGTGAGAAACGCCGGGCAGCGTGGTGCACAACTTCACCCTCCCATATGTATTTTCGTTCGCTTCTCCCTCGGGCTGTTCCATCTCCTCATATCCTTCCCACCTAGGCGGGGCGGGGGCCGGCGGGGCGCGGGGTGCGGGGTGCGGGGTGCGGTGCGGTGCGTGCAATCGTGTGTTTGGCGTCATGTTGTGTGTGCCTTCGCTTGTTTCTATTAACAACGAAGTCTAGCTACAAAAAACCTTGAGCGGCGCAACTGTTTTTTCGCCCTTTGCTCTTTGTGTGTGTGTGTGTGTGTGTGTGTGTGTGTGTGTGTGTGTGTGTGTGTGTGTGTGTGTGTGTGTGTGTGTGTGTGTGTGTGTGTGTGTGTGTGTGTGTGTGTACTCACCCTTTGCTCTTTGTGCCCGCGTTTTGTGTTTCATTTGGCTCTTCTTTTATATCCTGCTGCGTCGTCGGATCCTCTATACACGCGTGTAATTTACCAGTTCCCTCTCACGACGCTGGGCACGGGACTGGCGCGCACTGGCACTATTTTAGAATTTTACCAGCCGCGCAACGCTGGCACGGGCGCACTGGCACTAACAAAGGCCAAAAAGAATTCCCGAACTCACCCTGCGCGCAGGAGTCTCCACACCCGGACACGGGCAGGAACCCCATGGCATTCGAAGTGCAAGGCCCACAATTCACGGGGGCAACAAGAAGAGTGCCCCGACTTGTCAGTCACCCTCGGAGTAGGGCGGGGCCACTCTGACACTGCAGACCCACCGCGGCCCTCGCGGTCTCTATTCTCATGCCGCCTCGTCTTCAGTAGCCGAAGCCTCGCCGCCCGCCGGGAGGCCGGCCTCGGGGTGCGCCTGCGAAACAGGTTTCGTGGCTTGAGAGGGGCCCCTCTAGCTACCCGAGCCGGCACAAGCACCAGCGCTGGCACCGCCGCCAGCATCACCGGCGCCTGGACTTGGCTCCAATCTCCTTCTGTCTTCTACAGTTTGACACCTGCTCCTCCGCGTCGAAGCAGGAGAAGGCAAATCCCGTGGCGTAGGGCGAGGGCAGCTCGTACAAGGCGGCGCTGCCTTCGATCGCGCCCTCGGCCTGCGCGCTTGTGGTGACGGTGCCAGCGGTCCTGGGTAGTGGGGGAAATGGTGATTTTTGAATGAACGCCTCGCGCAAAACCACCGCTACCATGCCAAAGAAGACCCTTGTGGGCTATCCAGAACACCTAAGATCATGCCCTGGCTCTAAAGTGGGCCCGAGATACGCCAGCTAAACCCCGGATTTTTTCCGGCAGCGGGCCACACATGGCCGGCTACCCAAGCGGGTCGCACGGAGACACGGGAAGGCTGCCGCAAGCCGCCTCCGGGTGCAGGGGCCCGGCGCGGTGGGCGGGGGCAACGACCCGGTAGCTGGCCGCGCCTCTCCCCCCCGCCCGTCGCCGCTGCACCCCTTGCCGCGGCCCTCGTCGCTGCTGTAGCGACAACAGCGGCACGAGGTCAGAACGCGGCCTCGGAGAGCTCGAGCGAAGGCGCCGACGGTGGCAGCCGTGGTAGTGGTTTATGGTAGAAGGCTCCTGAGCCGTCGGGCACCACGCTCGACGTCGCCGAGCAGCCGCACCTGTCGCGAGCGCCTGCGCGTCGGGCGCTGCCGGCTCGACCTCCATTTCCGGCGAGGTGTCGGGCGCGGCGAGCGGCTCCGGCGCCTCGGTGGCGACCGTGGGCTCGGTGGTCGCCTTGGGCTGCCTGTGGATGTTGTCGTTGGCTGATTTCTTATGCTTCTTGCCCGTTCGGCCGAGGCCTCGGTTGCGAGGCATCTCGGTACACGCGACGGCAGCACGACGTACACGACGAGGACGGCTCCTTGATGGCGACCTGCAGCAGGAGAATGCGCATGTTTGGAGCGTGGTAGCGGACGCATTGGGCCTAGCCCGGGGCCGTGGCGTGTACCGAGAGGCTGGTCTACCGAACACTTTTGGTGCACACCTGCCCAGAAGAGCGGAGCCATTTCCCCCACTATCCTGGGGTACCCGTCCCGCTTGCCATTGCGCTGACCGGGCGTCGAGAAGCTTTGGCCAACCAATCCGTGAGGGAGCGAGCGCCCCGCGGCGCTGTCGCCCGCGGCGATCGCGACGTCGATGCGGTGCTTGGGCCCGCTGATGTGGTTGTACACATAGTTGCCTGTGGGGGTTCACGGCCGACGAGGTGATGCAGACCTCTCGCCCGACCTCCGCGTCGGGCGAGGACGACGACGAGGACACCGACCGCTCTGAGGAGTATTCCGACGGTGGGAGGGTGTCCGACTAGCTGGCCTCACCAATATCTTACCTTCTGCCCCCCTCCTGCGAGACCCACCAGGCTAGATGGAGTAGTCAGATGAAGATTCATCTGCCCCACACAGCCCCTTACCCCTTCACCCTCGCCTCGCTGCTTGCTCAATGGTGTTTCTGAACATGTAGACGTCCACGCTGTGGGGGTTGTGTGCGGGTTGTGTCTGGGAGGGAGGGAGTGGGGTGCAGGTTGCTCACCCACGGCACCGGGCCGGTGCTTGCACTTTGAATGCCCTGGGGCTCCTGCCCGTGTCCCGGGCGTGGAGATGCGAGAGTCGCCCCCCCTTGCCCCGGCCGGCGCGGCCGCGCCTCGCCGCTAAGCGCTATGACGGCCACACGACCGCCAGCTCCGAAGATGCAGCTCAGGGAGTGAGTTAGTGGCAAAACCGCGGAACGGAAAATGGCGTTTAATTTCGCGCAACTGCTGTCCGCCGCCGCCTGCGGCGGCGCTCCGCGCCGCTTGGGGCGCCTGCGGCGCACACATGGGCGCGCTGCGCGCGCCTTGTTTTTGGGGGTCTACCAGCACCAAAATGCAAAAAATTGCCTTTTTTGAGACAGAGAACACTAAGGAATAAGGTGAATACATGTATACCTTAAGGTACAGAGTATGTCGGTATACGGTGTACGAGGCGAAACTCCGAAAAGCCGCTGATCGGGGGGAAGGCAGAAGCGCAAAGAGCGGGAAGGGGGGTTGGGAGACATCAACACAGAAAACTAGGGAATACGCCTAATGCATGGGAGCGGCTAGAGCAACCGCTGCGCAAAGGCCAGGCCGCCCACCACGCCGCCGGCAAAGCCCGGGTGCCGCTGCACAAAGGGCGCCACCTTGGAGCCCATCAGCTTCGAGTCCTGCGGCAGGAACAACACCGCTTACAGGGGCCAGCGGGCGTGTGACTAGGCGTGTGAGGACGGGTGGCGAGGGCGCACGGCACGACGCGTCAGGAGCCGGGGTGTGGGAGAGAAGAGTCTCGCGCCGTGTCTTCACACCACCGCGCGTGAGCAGCGCAACTCGAGCAGGCACGTGTCCGGGTGTGTCCGGAGGAGGCCGCCATCGCTTAGACTCCCCCGCGTCACTACTGTGCCTCCCCCGTGTCCTGCAGCCTGCCGTTTGTGTGCGCCGTCCGTGCCGCGCCCTGTGCCCCCCCCCCCCCCCCAAGCGTACCCAATGGGCACCCAGTGGGCACCCAGTGGGCACCCCACTGTCCGGCTGCCACAACAGATAATCTCGGGTAATCTCCGCGAGGCGGTGGCGGAGACCTCGAGCGTGAGGCTGCCGTCGCCGTCCATGTCGAGCGAGCCGGCGTGCGCGCTCGCCTGCGGAGGATCGTGGAAGGTGGTAGGAAGATGCTAGGAAGGTGCGGAAGGTGGTAGGAAGGTGTTAGGAAGGAGTGGTGGTGCGGTGGTAGGACGGCGCTGGGAAGGTTCTCGGAAGGTTCTCGGAAGGCTCTGGGGCGCGCGCGCGGCTAATGCAGTGGCGCGCCGTCTCTTGCAGCGCTCGCACCGCCACGCGTGCGCCCGCGTGCACGCCATCGGGCGTCACCTTCGGTGCAGTAAAGGGCGCGTCACTCATTCATTCTCTGCTGTGTACAGTTGACGCCGCACTGACCGCCAACCCTCTCGTGAGATGGCCAACCCCTCTGCTGAGATGGCACACACCGCCTCGTGTGTGTGTCTGCCCCGTGTGTGCTCCGCGTGTGTGCGTGTGCCTCGCCGTCCGTGCTAGGACCTGTCTAAGACTGACTGGCTGATTCTGCAGCCAAGAGGCCTCACCCAGTTCTGGTGTAGCGCAAGCCCTGTCCCAAGCGCGCCAACCACCGCCGCAGTCACGATGGCTCCCTGCGGCACGCAAGCGCGGGGGCGGTGGGTGCTCCTGCCAGGCGGCCGGCTCGACGCGCGGAGGAGAGGAGACCGGGAGGCGACCTGTCCTTCCTAGAGAGAACCGTCCTAGAGCCTTCCTAGAGGAGAGCGGGCGGCGACTGTCTGTGTGCTACTGCTCTGCTGCTGCGCGAAGGGAGGGTTTGGGAGGAGCAGGCCAGAGACAGAGGAGCGGGGGCGGAGGGAAAGCGGCCCACAGGCGAACGATGGGCGGAGGCTCGTGCGCGCGGCGGGCGGTGCGAGGCCGCTGGCGAGCCTGCAGCTTCCGGAAGAGCCATCCCGCCACGACGCCGCACCCGACGCCGATCGCGCACTCGCCTCCTGCGGACGTGAGTACGGGCCAGACACATCGCGGGCTGGGTCGAGTGGGACGGGCGGCGCGTCGAGCTGCGGAAACGGCGGAGCCAGCACAGTGACGGCGAGTGGGAGGTAGAGATCGCGGCTGTGTGCTCCCGCGCCGTGGCCGCGAGTGATGTTGAGCGCCGACTCGATGAGGTGGTCGGCGTCGTGCTCCCACGAGAAGGCCGAGCACGAGCAGATTATCGCGAGGCTCACGAGCGAGGCGGCCCGGGCGCTCATGAGAGCTAACCGGCCGTGCTAACCGGCCGTGGCAGCGCCCAGCTGAGCAAGAAAAAGAATTCTACGAACACAAGCCCCTCTCACAGCAGACTGGCACGAACTAGCACCACAAAAGGCACAGGAAAAAGAATTCCATTCATTCTGCGTAAAAAGAAAACGAACGTGATGAAGCTGCACACAGGAAAACAGCACAAAATAAATCTAACACATATACAGGACCCAAAAGAAAATAGCTTTGCGACTCAAAAAGGGACGCACGAGGCAAATCTGATGTTGGCCAGTTCCAATAGGAGCGAGGCCTCTTCCGTTGGGGGACCGAGTTCATAGGAAACGAGGGTTTCCCATTGTGACCCGCTCCAGCGCGAGCGTGACACTGCACTTGGGCGCCGAGCGCCCGCGGCACAGACCTTGTGCAGGCCTCCCCTCATTGAGTGCACCGGTCCGGACCGATGGCGCTCGGTGTGGAGCAAGCAAGACCCCCCCCCCCCTCGGCGCGCGCTCGCCATTCCAACGGCCGCCAGGAGCACCAAGAGGACTCCTCATGGCTGCACTCAAGTGGGCTTCGACCGGCCTTGGCTGGGGGGGCGGGTTGTCCCGGCTGCGGACGCGTTCTGCAACGCCCGCTGGGCGTGGGTCAGCACCCCAAAACTGCCCCTCGGCGGCATACAGCACTGCCAGCCAGCCTCTTCCTCCTCCTAAGGGCTGTACTATAGGCCATATTGCGCCGCCTCCTACTGGCAGCCGGGCGGGCGCGCGCCGCGGGCGCCTCGGCGCGCGCACGGCTCGCAAAGTTCGAACGAGTACTGCCGCCCGGCCGCCTCAAGGCTGCCGGGCGGCAGTACTCGCCTCGCAAGGCGCGCACCGGCTGATCTGGCTGCTGCGCCGGCGGCCGCTGCGCTGGCCGCTGCTGCGCCGGCTGGCGGGCGGTACGGCCGCCGGCGGCCGCTGCACCCGCGCCTTCCCTCGCGGGCGCCGTCGCGCCGCGCGCGCCCAACTCTGCTGGTACACGGCACGCGTCGTCACACAGCCGCGGAGAATAGGCGGTGCAGCGCGCGAAGCGCGCGCGATCTCGTACTTTTAAGGCTGGATCCGGCCATTCCAAGGGTATACCTTTGAGAATCCCCAGCGTCCCACCCTCCTAGTCACACTCTCAATTTCTCGACTGGCCAACACAAAGTGCTGCGATCGGGGGTGGCCCATTTCTTTTTTCTTTCTTTTTTTGGGCCCTGTGGGCACCCTAACAGCGGTTCGGAACGCGAACGAATCTTGCGGCGCACCAGGAGTATGTACTGTCTAGCAACGACAGCTGACAACGCACAGGCGCTCCCACACGCTCGGCCAGATAGAAGACAGGGCTCTGATGCGGCGAGGCGAGAGGTCTGGTGAGGACCTCTCCGTGAGGACCTCTGGGTGTGAGGACCTCTTAGAAGTGAGGACCTCTGCACTGCCTCTGCAGCGTGCACCAGGCCCCGGCTTGTGTGTAGCAAGCTACGTCGACTGCCGACGACGCGACGAGCGACGCGGCGAGGACAAGAAGTATCTCATCGACTGGAAGATAATAAAACACAAAAAGGACCCGCTCATCCGCCTAAATTTCTACATCTGGTGAGGTCCTGCAGGCTCTTCTCTCCCGCGCTGCTAGCTTGTTCGATCAAGAAAAAGAATTTTCGGGACGCCAAGTGCTCCAGGTGGGAAGAATTCAATCGCAGACAACAAGGCGATGCAACTCACTCACGCACCATACACCATTCACCCCAAATCTACATGTAGCATACATCGATCCAGGAGAGGAGATCACATTCACGATTCCGCTCGTCAGGACAGTCAGCGGCAATTCTACATCTGTCTGGTGTGAGGACCTCTACGTCGGTGAGGACCTCTCCCCGTGAGGACCTCTGCAGGCTCTTCTCCGACTCCGTCCGTCCGCAGGGGTGGGCGTCGGTCTACGCGTGGCGCGCGGCCACTCCACATCACAAGCGCACAAAAGCAAGAGAGCCCGAGCACTAGAGCTCTAACTGAGGCCTTGGATGCCGCAGGCATCATGGAGAAGAGTCTCTCTTAAATATGGCGATGCGCGCAAGAGAAGCATTGATTGTTGCATCAACAGTTTTTGTAACTAACTAAGCAAAAGGACCTCGTGCTCGTGGTCCAACGGTGCTCTTCCAATAGGGCAAGCTCCTCCCTTGCCCGCCTGCCCCCCCCCCCCCCTGCCGCCCGCCGCGTTTTCGCGTCAGACCGCCCAACTTTTACCCTTTAGAGTCACGCGACCGTCGGCGCAGAGCGTATTCATCGACAGCCGTAATGCCAATCGCGGCCGCTCTCGCCCTCGCCGCCGTCCTCGGAGCGCCGGTAGACACCGCGGGCGCCAAGCCTGCCACCGCCGCCAGGTGCGTAGTGACCATCCGTCTCTTCACAAAAAAACGGGACACGTTCGAACACGTGGCCGCTGCCGGGCATGGCCTTCTCCGCCCTCCCTGAGCCTGACCTTCTCTGAAGTCGACACCCTCCCTGGGCCTGGCCTTCTCTGGACGCCAATTCCCCACGAAACGCAGGCGTGGGCTGCAGGGTCTCGTCGGCGCGTCTTACTGCACATACGCGCCCGACACCGCCTGCTACATCGACGGGTGGCCGGCATGCTGCAAGGCAGACTCTTGCCCGACGGTCAAACCCGGGTGCGAGATTGGGTACTCGCCGGAAGAGATGATCGCGCCAGTTCCTCCCCCGTGCTGCCTGTGCGGCGCAGATGGCTACTGCTTGAAGGATCCACTGCTGGGAGGACGGCGGGTGCTGTTCGGAGTGCGGCCCATCTGCTGCGAGTAAGTCCAGGCGGCGGCCCCGCCGCTGAGCGCGTTGAGTGCTGACGCTGATGTGTCTCTCGCAGTTCTTTCATCCAAGCGGGTAACAACGACGACCCGCTTTTTTGGGCGACGAGAGTCCGTCTGGCGGCAGCAGCGGGCGCGGCTCGCGCTCGGCGAGTCGGACGTCGGAGCGACAGTCGGTCTTGGGGCCAGCTCCCACTTGAGACACGAGAGAGCCCAAGTGCGTTTTGGGCTTTCGGCCTGTCTCGTGTCTGGGTGTTTCATGAAATGAAAAGTTTCTGTGCTAAATTTCTCTTCTGTCAAACTACGGCCAACAGCGAGAGCCGACGATAGACAGCAGATTACACGGCTCACTGGGAGACATCGCCTCAACGGGCTGGTCCAGGTACGACGCCCTCGACATCAAAACGATAAACGTGCCGCCGAAAACGTGCCGCCGAAAATCGAGCTGGGCCGGCTCTTCAGGAGGCTAAACGATAAACGTGCCGCCGAACCGAGCCTATTAGCCTCCGGACGGCTCCTGCCAGCCGGGCTGCCTCCTCCGCCCACGGAAGAAAGCTCGCATCAGCTCGGCCGCCGCCTCCTCCCTCACGCCGCCCTGCACCTCCAGGGTGTGGAAGGGGTGCTCCACCTACTCACAGCGACTGGGGTGGGGAGAGAGAGAGGGGGAGAGATAGGGAGGGAGGGAGGGAGGGAGGGAGGGAGGGAGGGAGGGAGGGAGGGAGAGAGAGAGAGAGAGAGAGAGAGAGAGAGAGAGAGAGAGAGATCGAGCAAAGCGAAGCGATCGAAAGCGCCAGCAAGTGTGAGCCGGGGAGTGGGAGAGAGAGAGAGAGAGGCAGCGAGGCAGGTAGACAGAGGGAGGTAGGGAGGGAGAGCAGTGACCGCGCCGGCGCACGCATCGCGCCATGCACAGCGCCGAGGCGGTCGTTGGGCGCGCCGTACACCAGCCGCTCCACGCGGAAGCCGTGCAGCGCGGCGTAGCACATCGGACACGGCTCCACCGTCACGTACAGCGTGCTCGGGCACGGGTCGCCCGCCGCGTCGGCGTTGAGCCTCCACCCGCCGTGCGACGCGGCGGCGGCGCGCATGCAGAGCATCTCGGCGTGGGCGGAGGCGTCCTGCAGCTCCTCGACGCGGTTGCGCGCGGACGCCACAACCTCGCCAGCCATCACCAGCACCGACCCGATGGGCACCTCGCCTGCATCGCGAGCCGCCGCAGCCTCTTCAAGCGCCAGGTCCATGAAGGCGGCGTCGGCGTCGTGCGGTGCGGCGGTCGCGGCCGCAGCCGCTCTGGCTACCGATGAGCCCGCCAGCGAGCGCAGCGTGCGCGGCCGGAGCGCGAGCTCGCGGATCGCCGCACCGAGGCCCATCGACGCCGCCAGTAGCATGCGACTCAGCTCGCAGCATGGGCGTACCCAGAAAAAGAATTTGCGGTCTTCACCGGGGTGGCGGCGTGCCGTCCTCCCATCCCTCCCTTTGGTTGTCCGTTTTCTTTCTTTTTTATATCTTTACGGCCTCGGTATATTCTTTCTCCGACAAACCACGCGAAACGAACGCCGCCGACGGTTGGCCGGCCCTAATGCAGTGCGCGGCACTGGCCTGAGGCCACGTCCTGGTCTCCACCTCACCGGGCTGCGTATTCCAAACACCAATGCTGCCGGCCTTTCGGCTGGAGCTCAAGACGCCAATCCTCCCTGGCCTGGTGCGCGCACACAGTGGCACTCCCCGCCCGCATCCCGCCCTGAGGCTCATGCAGCAACATCCCCGGACAGCCAAGCGCACACGGACCGACGGGCCCGGTTCCGATGGATCAGCGCAGCGCGCAGAGCACCAGCCACGCCCGCACGGTGGGGAGCCAGCCGAGGCTCGAGGCTCACCCGTCGACACCCCTCCAGGTCTGCGTGGGCAAGTTTGACGGGCAGAAGACGCCGTCGCTGGTGTGCGCGACCGCCGCGGGCAAGCTGTTCTGTCACACCCCAGGCGAGGCGCGTCCCGGCGAGGAGCTCCGCTACCTCAACATCAACCGGAAGGTTTCGTCACTCGCCTCGGGCCGGCTCGACCCATCGCTCGGTCGCGACATTCTGCTTGTGGGCACGCCGACAGCGCTGCTGGCTTACGACATTGCAGAGAACCGCGACGTCTTCTTTCGCGACGCGCCCGACGGCGCCAACGCAATTGTGGTGGGCCAGCTCGCGGGGACTGGCGCGGCGCTCGCACTGGTCGGCGGCAACTGCTCCATCCAGGGCTTAACCGATGCGAGTCGACCGGTGCGTGTCGTCGTGGTTTCGTATCAAGAATACTCACTCACTCACACTCACGGAGCTATAAGTGCCTCGCCGTCCTCGCAGGAGTCGTGCGAGGTAAGTTTAAATTCTTTCGCCCTTGTGCGAGGGAGTTCGTTTGTAAAATTCTTTCGCCATTCTAGGAATTCCACTGTTGGGCGCGCGCCACTGCGCTCGCCTGTCACCGAGGCCCCTCCACCCTCTCTACTCGCTGCCTACTCGCTGCCGCGAGGGAGGAGGGGAAGACGTCAGGCAGCTCTCACTCCGGTGATGAGCGCTTGAACGGAGGCCCCTCCCATGAAACCCGAGACCCCTCCCCCCCGCCCCGACCCCCCCCACCCCCTTGCTCCCCTCCCCCCCCTCGGGGGGGCCGAACTGAGGCGCCCGTGGGGACCCCACAATTCCCTTCCCCCCTCGGAGGGGGCCGGACGGAGGCGTACCCCGTGGGCCCCGCTCTTTCCCTCGCATAGCGGCCACTCTTCGGATCGCTGGTCGAGCGACCCGGGGGATGCCCCTCGCGCCTGACCCAGGCGCGAAAAACGAATCTGCGAGGCGAGGCCGCTCACGCGGCCCGATGGGGAGGAACGGGGCGAGCCCCCTCCAACCCACCCGCGCTAGGTCTCGGGGGACGAAGGGGTCACACCCGACGACCTCGGGAACTAGCCGGGGCAGTCGGAGAAGTGGCAACTCCGTGCACTGACGGTCGGCCGCCAGAAAACACGCCTCCGTGGCTCGGGTTACACCAATCCTCGCTACCCAACGCGGCCAAAGGATATCCACCTCGAGAACCTCGAGAGAGGAATTCCACCCGAGTAGAATTCTTCGCAGTGTGTCTGTGAATCCGATCACGGCGCTCCCTGTCGCCCCTACCGCCGCCGCCGCTCTCCCGGGGACAGGAGATAATATCGGCCGCCTCGTCGTCGAGCTGGTGCAGGATCGAGGATGAGGGAGGCGCCCCCTCCCTTCCCCGTCTTCTACTCCGTATCGACGCCGCAGCGCGGCGCGCGGCTACGCGCGTGGCTCGACCGTGGCGGCGACAACTGGTGCAGGATCGAGTTGCCGCCCATGCACCCACAGGACTTCGACGTGCGGTGGGAGCCTCCAGTTTACGGCTCGCCGGTCCGGATCTACCTCTCGCCCTCCACCAACGCCTCGTCGGCAGGCCCGCAGCCACCTCTCGCTAGCACCGCGTGGCCGCAGCTCCGGGTCGGCGGCGCGTCGCCGGACCAGCCGCTCTTCGTGCTCAACGCGCCGTACGGGAACCTGCGGAACCAGATTGAGAAGGGGCATCGCGTGGGCCGCGCAAAGTCCGGGCTCGGCTCGGGCCACAAAGTCGCCAACGCGTACTTCCACCTCCGAGCGATCCAGTACACACCTCGCCACACACGCCGGTGCCAGCCGTCAGAGAGAGCCCTCTCTCAGCGCGGGCTTTCCCCCCGGGGCCTTGCTGATGCGTATAGGTGCCTCGCCGCGAGGTGCCACCCGTGCCTCCAGCGCATCGGCGTCCACGCCGCCGCCGTGTTCGAGGCGACCCCGCCGACTGCACGTGTGCTGGGATGCGGTGTGGGGTGTGAGCAGCGCCTTCTGACTGGCGTGTTGTTGTTTGGCCTTTCTAGGACGATGTCGAGTACGTGCAGGGCAGCTCGCCCGGCGAGGCGGCCACGCTGCCGCAGCTGCTCCACGCCGCCGCCGCGCAGACCCGCGCCCGGGATGGAGTGACTAAGCTGCAGCTCGGCGTGGGGAACGCCGGCTCGGGGCAGGAGGTGAACGTGGCCAGCCGGAAGGCGTGCGCTGCACCGCGCTGCCCGCGCCTCACGCACACGCATCCGCGGGGCGTGGGTGCGCTGGCCATCAATGGACGGAGTCGGTTCCGCTCTACCCCAAGGCGCGATGCCACGAGCACACGCGCGGCGTGGCTGGCTGGCCGACGGCGAGGCTGCGTAGCCGAGACCTCGTCGCCGAGATGAGGTCGAGATGTGGTCGAGATGTGGTCGAGATGAGGTCGAGATGTGGTCGAGATGAGGCCGAGATGAGGCCGAGATGTGGTCGAGATGAGGTCGAGATGTGGTCGAGATGAGGTCGAGATGAGGCCGAGATGAGGCCGAGATGAGGCCGAGATGTGGTCGAGATGTGGTCGAGATGTGGTCGAGATGTGATCGAGATGTGGTCGAGATGTGGCGGAGATGTGGCGGAGATGTGGCGGAGATGTGGTCGAGATGTGGTCGAGATGAGATCGAGATGTGTGGTCGAGATTGAGCGAGATTGCTCGAGGCCAGGCGCGGCTCCTGGCGTGCTCGAACTACACCGACTCGCACGCGTACGTGCTGCACGCCTCGCACGCGCGCAAGATCGTGGCGGCGCACGCGTCGCTCGTCGAGCACGGCGGCCGCGGCAGCCGGAGGTGTGGGTCAAAAGCCCTGTTGGGCCACGCCTCGCCTCCGACGTTTGGGCAGAGATTGTTTTTGCTGTGACCCAGGTGCGTCAATCCGTGGGGGCATGTCTCGTGCGCCTCCGACCCGGGAACTCCGAGACTTCTTCAAGCAGTGCGACCGCCGATCTGCAATGCGAACTCACACACATGATGTGGTGCACAGGCATCCTCCGAGACTTCTTCAAGCAGTGCGACAAAGCGCTGCCCGCCCTCCACCCGAGCCACGACAAGCTCCGCTGCTCGGGCAGCGAGACGAGCCGAGATGAGCCGAGATCGAGCCGAGATGAGCCGAGGTCGAGCCGAGATCGTGAGCCGAGATCGTACAAGAGCGTCGAGATGCGTGACAGAACTGGCCGCTCGTACCCCGCGAAGGCGCACAGTCAGCTGGTTGTACCTCCCCTTGCCTTGCCCCCCTAGGCCTCGCCCTCGCCGGCCAGCACACGCCGTGGTCGCTCAAGCACAACAACGACGACGCCTTCCGCATGGATTCTGACGAGGGCGCGCCATCCGCACGCACGCACGCACGCACGCACGCACACACACACACACACACACACACACACACACACACACACACACGCACACGCACACACGCACGCACGCACGCACGCACGCACGCACGCACGCACGCACGCACGCACGCACGCACGCACGCACGCACGCACACACACACACACACACGCACACGCACACATAGCTCCGGCGCAGGCACCGACGTGTAGGCAACACCTTGAATAACCACATCAACTGTTAATTGCTATAGGCACCGACGTGTACCCCGTCATCGCCGCGCTGCAGCGGGCCATCTTTGAGAATGCGAAGAACCGCAGCCGGATGCGCGTGAGCCTGAGGGCGCTGAGGCGGAGACGAGCCGAGACCAGCCGAGAGAGGAGAGAGCCGGGAGGAGCCGAGAGGAGCGTGTCTCTCGTCTAGCGTCCCCAGGCGCGCACGCTCGCAGGGAGGCGCGACTCGCTGACACACATGGCTGCCGCGCTTTTGGTGCAGGCGGGACGGGATGCCGCGCAAGGTGCGCGGCACGCACGTGATGAAGACGTGAGGCTGGAGTGTGAGGCAGGGGTCGCCGCTGTGGTCCTCGCCGCACAAGTCAACACGATGCCGCACATGATGAGGGCGCACCTTACGGTCGGAGGACGCCGCAGGCCGCCTGGGCGGGGCGGTCGCGGTGTCCGGTGAAGTCTGAAGAGACGCGTGTGCTGAGTTGCCTTACGGATTGCGGGCGCCATGTGAGCGGGGAGAGCTCTGCTATCGAGCTTTTAAATTGACGGCGCTCTCTCTCCTCACTCCCCCCTGCCCTGGAATCGCGTACAAGCTGTGGGTACCGTAGGCCACACATTAGGTCTAGAGCCGTAGCTCACACCCCGTAGCCGTACAAAAACAAATCCGCGCCAATGAGGATCTGCATTTTTTTAATTTACCGGCCACACTACCCCTAATCTCCTATGCCCCCTATCACTGATACCTATCCCGTAATAGAAAAAGGCTGAAAACGAGGTCAGCGTTACGCTGAGTAGCAATATCGGCTGTCGCAGATGCCAAAGGTTGCCAGTTCGCTGGACAATGATGATGGCAGCAACCAGCCGTAGGGCCTCAAAACTCGAAAGACACCCGAGCCGCAGCCTGACAGAGACGCCGGGTAACGCTGCCAGCAGACCCCCGGCGCATATGCTGATTGTGACCAATGCGAGCACCTGGAGCGGGGCGCTCACCCATCTCTCTAGTTCCTTCTCGAACTGGATCGGATCACTTGTGCAAGCGATGGCGACCCTGACTAGGTGGGATAGAAGGAGGAGGACACTACCCAGCTGAGCTGCCTTTCGCGCCTCGCCCTTCCACCATGCCATCACCCACAGGATGACTTCCAACATTACGAACAAGAAGAAGAGATCAGCCTTCTGGAGGCAGGCGGCTGCAAGACCGAGGATCAGAGCGCCACAACCGTTTCCGAGGCCTTGGGAAGGCATCGCGTGATTCCCCGCGGGCGGGGGCGAGGGCGGCAGTGAGTGAGGATGAGTGCCGAAGCGGCGGGCGGCGGGGTCATCGGAGGCGTCCGCACTCGTCTGAGGGATAGAGGGCGCCGCGCCGTGGGACGGCGCAAGCTGCACTATTGCTGCTGCTGCTGCTGCGGCTCCTGCGGCCGCTGCTGCCTCTGCTGCCGCTGCTGCTGTCGCTGCTGCATCTGCTACTGCTGCCGCTGCTTGCTCAGTGGCGACGAGCGAAGAGTGCAGCTGCGCCACAGAGGCGAGCGGGGCCGGCGGCACGCCCATCGTTGCCGATAGGAGCTGCCACCGCACCACGAGCTCGGCCTGCGGCAGGGGGCAGCAAGCTAGCAGTGA